GAAACACAAATAACCGAGAGTTAGAGAAACTTCTTCAGAAACAAAAAATGATACATGTAATACGATCTGTTAGATAACGTAACAAAGCGTTATGAAGTTGACACATTAAGTCAGAAAGTTTGCAAGTAATATCGACATATATAACTCTATCCGTAAGGAAATTACAAAGTTGACATGTCAGCAACCGACATCATTACTAGCAGATAATGTAAAAAGGTCTAAAAGACTATAAGAAATTATCCATTATTTTCTAGCATACCTTTGCCTCGGCAGTTGCTGATACTGGAGATGAGTTCATAGATCTTTTGGCGTCATCATCAGACGAACAATCAGAGCACAAGAATTGGTTCAATTGCTTGGCTTCCTCAATTGTCATGCCCATACAAGAAGGATGAAACCTTAAAGCAAAACAAATTAATAGAATTACATTATCAATAATAAATAATAATTAAAAAAAAAAAACCAACATTATGTAGAGTTAACTAATGCTCACAATGCGGGCCATGAAATAAGTAAAAAACTACTTCAGTTGATAAAAGTGCAAGAGCATAGAAATCCAGGTGTCACCAATACAAACAGTAACCTAACTCAAATACTGAAATTTCAAACACTTGTTCAATATGCAAGTATTTAAACTGATGAAGCAAAATAATTTCACGATCCGAACTGACTACTTGATTTCTTTCAGAGTTTATAGACAAGAACCACATCAAATCCCACATTCCAACTACACATACAGCAAATTAAGCACCATCAAAAGAAGAAGTGACCACAGATAAACATGCGGACATTTTATAATATTGCTATCGTGATAAATGGGAAAAAACATGCAATGTAATTTGAATATTGGCTGTAAAACTAACTCAGCATTACCAGTCTTTGCACCCTTCGCATTGCACCATGAGATCGTCCGGGTTATAAGGCATCTCACACTTGCAATAGCTTTAGAAATACAAAGCCCACGAAAAAATAACTTGAAATTAGATAACCACATGGCTAGTTTGTGATTTCAACATCATTTAGCCCCAAATTTCAAATTTTATGAATAAANTTTAAGAAAGAAAACTCACACAGCAACACGGTCAGGAGTGAAGCTCCCGGTAGCAGCCTTGTATTCGAACCTACAGAAGTAATCCTCTGTGCCCACATTCTCTAGTTTGGTGTAGTTCTTGAAAGTATGCACGATACATTTTCCCTCAATGGTGTGGGCACTCTGCACGTCAAAATGGTCCGACAGGAAAAGCTCCTTGGCCCCATGGAACTGTCTCCGGCCCCCGATCGACTCTTCGGGCCGGTAATACCAGCGGACTCTTACTTTCACATTATTCCTGTGATCTGCCTCGATTTTCTCAACTCTCGCCACATATGGTGGCTTGTCTGAATCAGACGGTCTCATCAGCACACAGTCACCAGCTACAAGAGGCGCATGCATTTAAAAAAAAAAAATCAGTCCACCATGAGCCCAAAATTTTATCTAGACTGAACTGTGTAAAATACTGAATTGTACTTATCCTGGGTTTGTGATTCTAGTGTGCTTTGTGGAAATGCACCATATAAGAACACTAAGAAATGACAGAAAGAAAACAACGTATAAGGATTATCTAAATACGAAAATGGGTAGTTCAAGCATAGTCTAAAAGTGGTTTCACAGAATTCAACACCTTGTCAACTACATGTAAACAAAACTGAAGGAAATAGATAGTAATAGGGATAATTTACCAAAAAACCACCTATCTACTTTTTCTTTGCAAAAATACAACTTTTGGTTGTTCTACCAGCCATTTTTTTTAGCTACGAAAGACAAATGTAGTATATTCGCAAACACAATGAAAAAAGGTGGTGTTTTTGTAATTTTTCCTAGTAAAAGATCAAAACTTTTATCACCACCCTCACACACCAACAAGCTCAACATGAACTGAATAAGACTGTCCCACACACGTACTTGCAAGAAACTATTAGACGTAGATTACATAAGCAAATGTCGGAACTAAGGGAGCTAACTAGGAACCCTTCAGCTGCTAATGACCATAAATGACCATAATTTTGATGCTATTTTCAAGTTCCAAATCCAATTAACATGAAAAAAGAAAACATAACTCAGCTAAGAGGGGCAAAAACAGAAATAACTGGAAAGGGAAAAAAGTCGACATTTTTAATAATTCAGCTACAAGCCCACAAAACACCAGTAAACTGGAAACCATATTCAAACATATAAAAAAAATACATCGAACCTAAGACCAAAAAGTGAAACAAAAGGTAATTTAATACATCGAGCAAGAGCAATATGAACATACGTCTGACAACTTTGTTGGTCCCTTTGATAGTGTAAGAATCAAGGTCCTTCTTCCCCGGCTTTGTCTTTGCCATCTCCACTAGTCTTCTTTTTTCAGCTCAGATCGAAAAGAAGCTGCACAGATTTTCCCTCCAATCAGACGCTCGATTTTTGGGAGAGTGGAAAGAGAGAATGAGAGAAGCAAAAACCCTAATTTGCGGAACAGAGATAGAAAATGGGGGCGGAGGAGATGGTGTCGGAGGTCTGGGGTTCAGTCTGCCCGTGGGCAGCTATGCTTAGACAAGATAAAGCTCCTTTTTTGTTTCAAAAAATGTAATGAAAATGTAATATTATTGCAGTATATAATTCATAAATACAAAAAAAATTGTGTTATTATTACTTAATAAAAAAAAAAAGGAAAATTTGTTTTAAGACAAGATAAAGCTCCTTTTTTGTTTCAAAAAATGTAATGAAAATGTACTATTATTGCAGTATATAATTCATAAATACGAAAAAAATTGTGTTATTATTACTCAAAAAAGAAAGAGAAAATTTGTTTTAAATAATAGTAAGTATATACATTTGAAAATTTTACTTTGAACCATAAAAAAGAGAACATTGGAATAAATAGTTATAATTTCATTTAAACAGAATAAAATTAAAATTAATACGAATCAATAATAGATTTTTCACAAGGAATTTTTATAGTTTTAATCTTGTTGATGTGTTGGTTTGAAATTTTTTTGGGTAATATATGTACAAGAATCATACCATTTGAATTTGATATATTTATAAATATTGGCTAATTAAATATCTTCTTACAATACATCTGTACTTTTACAATTTTTCCTACTGTTCAGTTTTATTTTATTTTCTGTATTTCAGTTCAGTTGTATGAAGTTTAATTAAAAAAATATATATATATATAATTATTTAACAGTAACATTTTTCTCCAACTATTTATTTAATTTTTAAATCAACTACAGACCACCAACCAAAAAGTCGCAAAAATAAATAAATTAATAAACACTGCTCAAGAATCAAAACTTGGTCAAGTTCTAGCTGAAAAGTGTGACTTGTAATCCTTATTTCCTAAAGGTGTAGCTACACCTGCTCACAGGCTATCCTTTCCTTACTAGTTACCGTTACAAACCTTTTCTTGCCTCAGACAAAAGCACACAGGTCACACACACACCAGATACACACACTACACACAGTGCAAGAACAAAATATGAGCTCTTGCACCAGTTATGAGGGTTTGCCATCATCAAATTCATACCCTTTTGGCACACATGTTTCTTACAGGTTCCATTTTTTCTCACTCACAGTATGTGATTCTTTATTCAATAATGTATCATATTTGGTCTAATATATATATGGTTCATAAAGATTAGAATTTTTTTTTAACAATGCAGAATCATATTTTTCTGGGCTTTGTTTTTTAAGTTGGTGCCTGTGGCATTTTCTTGTTTTCTAGAGTTTTAATGACACAAAATTATTTGTAGCTAATTATTATAATAATAACAATACATGATTGTCCATTTTCCTATTAAAAACAAGATCTTACATTTCATTTTGCCTTATCTTTGCACATACATACATTAAATTGGAATTGACACTAAATGGAGTGAAGCAGAGAGCATCTCAGGCGATCTTTAAGTATGGGAATAGTTTTTTTTTTTTAATTCAGTAAATCATTTTTCTTGGCTATCTTGAATAACGAGTCTAATGAAACATAATGTTGCAAGTAGGTGTGTTTTTTAACTCTGATGATGCATAATATTTTCTCCCTCTTTTTGCCAGCTGTGGATCGTGTGGTTACGAACTAAACCTGAACTCGTGCAACCGCAACATATCAGCCATGGATGCAAAATACGAAAAGTCGATGAAAAGGGGAGTTATTTCGTTCTTCTCAGTTGACGAGAGCAGGTTTACTCAGATAAACAAAATCCATTGGTTGTCGTATTTGATGATACCAAACAAGCCCTCGTCATGGAGGATCTTTAAAAAAAGAACCACATTGCTATGTAGAAATTGTGGGAATTATATCGGAGTCGCTAGGAATGGGGACAATAGTTCTTCTCGTTCGTCTCCATTCAAAGCAATGGTGAAGCACAATTCAGCAAAGACTTGGGATGGGATTTCTGGGCGCAAGTCGTACGAGATCAAAATACGGTCTTTGAGGCCCGTGTCGTTTGATGGACCTGCATTTGTCATGTGATGATTGTAAGGTAGAAAAACAATCTTCTTTTCTGTACTTTGTTTCAAGTGTCATGAGAGTGTGTTCTAACAGAAATGATTAAGGCACAAGGCTTTTGACATGAGTAGTGTGTGCTGTCAAATATGAAAGGAATAAGGCTTTACATTGTAAAACGTTGTCTATTCTTCCCATAACTTATTCAAGTGTTTTGTTTGGATGTAATTTTCTTGTAGTGCATATGAGAAGACTCATTGTGTATTTGCTTCTATCTGTTTAATACTTCACGATATCATGTTCTGATTTTAAAAAGATAGCTTTGAAATAGCTTTACGTAAGGACTGCCTATAAAGGTAGCATTTGGTTCAAACCTAGAACTGCTCGTGAACTCGGCTCGACTCGTAAAGGCTCGAGCTCAAACGCGCCGATCTCAAGCTCATTTAAATCTCGTTCAACTAACAAAGTTGAGACGATACGGCTCTTTAAGGCTCGAAAAGATAATTTTTATATATTTTTTGATAATTCAACTCAATTTTGGATCGTTAAAGCTTGAGCACGGCTAGGTAATATTAATAAACAAACCAAGCTCGAGCTCGATTATAAACTCATTAAGGGCTCGAGCAGCATGAGCTCAACTCGGCTCACTTACACCCCTAATTCAAACCTAGCTTCACCAATGTCATATGAATGGAATGTGAAAAATCCATCACCCAAGAGATGCAGCAACTGAAATGAACAGAAACACAAAAACACCTCAGGAAAAAAGGTCTGGCTGATAAGATAAACACATAAAGCAGAGCAAGATTCATCATCTCAACAAAATCCCAAGCAACCCGAAAATTGTCATATATTATTCATTATTACTGTCGAAATAATATTACACATAAAGCTATAACTTCTGGATCACGACCGAATTAGCTATCCCAGCTTCCTCGATTGTCTGATCCAAGTCGACCAGCTGCTTTGGAGGGAAACCCATTGTCTGCAGCTGATAACCCGTTGACCCACCGGGCCTTGATGCGTCTATGAAGCCCCGGATATCTCTAATTGTGTGGTTGCGGTTGAAACGCGAGACCAAGCGCGTGCCATCTGCCAACCTTAGCTGAATCGAGGTACAAGGTTTGTTCTGGTCAACCGAGAGACCCAGCGTTGGGGTGGGGGCTGAAGTCAAGACAGTTGTGACGGCACTTTCGGATTCTGTAGGTTGTGGTGTTGTGTCGTTTGAACTGCCCAAAGTCCTTCCGACTCCTTGGAAGGGTAGTTCGGATTTTTTTGGCTGCTGTAAATACGTAACCGAAAGGGAAATTAAAATCGACAAGCGAGAAGAGGTTGTTTCTGGTTGAAGGGATTATGTTATGAATCTGTATTGTAATTGCAGCTATGGGAATGGGATGAATTGTAGGACAAAGAAACCTCACATTGGTGGTATTTGCAATTTAAACGAAGAAAGGAACCTTTTTTATAGTTAAGCTGAATTTCATGATATTTTGTAATTATCTCAGATATATATTTTTTAAGTGTGGACTAACCCTGTATTCTTCATCCTTCCTTGTAAGGTTAACATGAACAGAAGTCCTCTTATCTGCAGGTGCAAGTTCTTTTGGGTACTCGGAATTCCTGATACTCTGCACGACAGTGTATTTGCAAAATAAGTCGGAGGGTTCTGTTAGAAATTTAGAAAAGCTTCAACCAAAGATTTTCAGTTAGTCACTAACTCGGAAAAGAAAAAGCACATAAATACAACAGTTCTCATATAAGAATTTCCGAGTTACCATCTCAAAGCAAAAGCTTTCTCCATCACATGACAGCCATATTTGCTTTAGGAAGGAAGGAA